GGTGCAGTTGAACTTTGTTTTGGGAGTCAGGAAACTCAGATCTAGTCTTGACTTTGTGTCTTCTCAGGCAGATTATTTTATTCTCTTCTCTCAGGGCCTCTCCTTTGGAGGCTGGATAGAAATAGGTAAGAATGACCTTGATTTTTTTAAAACTACATTCACCCCTTCTTGCATTAAGAATGTTATTACCACCTCCCACCTCCACCCTCATCAGGTGTGCTGCAATTGGAAAAGGTTGAGTATTACTGTTATCAGAGAGCTCTCTTCTAGCTTTAAAATTCTCACTGAAGATCCCTCAAAGCAGTTATGCACATGCCAGCGTAAGAGCTGCAAATATTAACTTATCAGCATATAATATTGGAGAGAAAGGTCACCCGTTACTCTGAAAGGCCAAGAGTTACCAATATACATGGGTTCTTAGCTATTGTCATGAGTCAATTATAGTTTAGTCTGTTTTCATCCTAGATGATTGTAATTTGGAGGCCTTGCCCGGTACAGTGCAGATTCAGCTTTCCTTCTCTGCAATAGCACGTTGGTAGTGCACAAGAAGTAGACATAGTTAGCAAAGCTGGACAATCATAAGGACAAGGGCTAGCTCTGATTTTTGTCCCATTGTATCACCAGCACTAGCAACAATGCCCAGTTCATAGTAGCCATTCCATAGATGTCTAATGGGTTACTGAATAAACAAGCAAATTTGGGAAGAATAAGGACCTACAACCAAAAAGCTGTTCTGTTGACTTTAATAGATTCTAGTTGCTAAAGCAGAAACAGATGATGGAAGTTTTTGGAATTCCTTTTTTAGGATTGAGAAGTAAATGGTTTAAGAAGCCCAAGGCCAATTTGGGATTTAGTTGGGACTATCCAGTCAAATTTTACTTTTGTTGTTGGTTCCTGTCTTAGCTTAAATTTTAACTAAACACACTGCCGTGGAGTCAGAGCAGACCCATAGCTACCCCTCCGGTTTCTGAGGTGATAGCACTATGGAAATAATTGCCCTACCTTCCTTCTGAAGAGTGGCTGGTGGGTTTGAACCGCCAGCCTTTTGGTTAGCAGTCAAATACCTTAGTCACTACGTCACCAGAACTCACAAAATTTAACTACCTATGGCAAAATAGGGAGCTCGGGTAGTATAGTGGCTAAGGCACTTGACTGCTAACCAGAAGGCTGGCGGTTCAAACCCACCAGCCACTCCTTGGAAGGAAGATGGGGCAACCTACTTCTGTAGTGATACTGCTCAGAAACCCAAGGAGGGGTCACTATAAGTCAAGTCTGACTCGATGGCACATAACAGCACCAACATGGCAAAATAAATCATGTTGTGTACTCTTAGAATTATACATAAGTAATTTGGTTAAAGTTGAACTAATTTGAATATTTGGGTACTGGCCTATCATTATTTTCTGATCAGTGATGAATAAGAAAAACCTTTGTTCCTTTCCATCCATTCTGTCAAATTCATTATGTTGATTCCAGCTAAGCTTTCCAAGCTATCAAGATCATTTTGAATCATAGTTCAGTCATACAGCATAGTAGTTCATCCCCCAGAAACAAGTCATCTATAAATTTAAGTGTGCCTTCTGTGTTTTTAAGAAAATCCTTTACATGAAAATCTGAATGTGATAAGTTAGCGATCCATTACTTCATTTAAAAATTATTCACTTTAAAAGCTAGACACAAAAAAGTATATACTATATGATTCCATTTATTTAAAAGTAAAAAAAAAAAAAAAAGCTGGTAGTCCTTAGTAATAGAAAACAGATGAGTGGTTGCCTAGGCCAAGGGTGATGGTGGGATTGACTGTATGACTGTACAAAGTGACACAAGGGAACACTTTGGGGTGATGGAAATGTTATGTGTCTATGTTGTAGTGGTAGTCTCAAGGGTCAAAACTGTCAAAACTCATCAGGTTGGACATTTGAAATGGGTAGTTTCTTGTACATAAATTACACCTCAATAAAGTAGTTTATAAAATAATTCCATTGAGGATTCATTAAAATAAGATTTTATTGAGTTATTAAGCCTTAAAATAAGAATTAAAGTGATGGATTACACAAATGGAAAAGTAAATTTCTCCAAGGGGGTTTGTGGGGGGAAAATGGTCAATGAAAAATCTTTGAATAGGTGAAGAGGTGATTTGAATGCAATGTAGTTAATTTAGCATTTATATAAGGATGATAGCACTTTATAATGTGGAATGTATCAAAACAGTAAAACAAATTATTCAGATAATTATTTGGGATTACCTAAAATAGATCTGGGAGCTCTGGTAGCGTAGTACCTAAGGCACTTGACTGCTAACCAGAAGGCTGGCAGTTCAAACCCAACAGCCACTCCTCAGGAGGAGGATGGGGCAATCTACTTCCATAGTGATATTGCCTCGGAAACCCAAGGAGGGGTCGTTATGAGTCAGGTCCGACTCAATGGCATGTAACAACAACAAAAAAGTAGATCTTACGTGTTCATTTACAACAGTTTCCTGGTGTGGTCTTTCCAAAGCATATAGCATCAGACATAGTGATAACATAATAGCTCATTCAAAGCTAAATTGTAAATCACTTACATCAAAATTGTGTTTTCACTTAAGGAAACTTGGAATCATTTGCCTACCTTATTTTACATTTTAAAATTGGACTTTTACAAAATTTGCTATGCTCAGGTATTGCATAGGAGGTAGTTCCTTGGGAAATCTAATATGATAAATGAACATTAATTTTAAGACCTGGTTTTAAATGCTATTTACCAATATGTACCCTTTCCATATTCTTGAGAAATTTTGAAGAGATTTTTTTCCAATCTATGAGATAATGCTGGTGCATTTTTTTTTTCTTTTCTTTACCTGGGTGAAAATCCAGAGCAAATTCATCCTCCACAGCAGTCCACACACACTCTCATGACACCGACCACAACCCAACCCAACTCCCCTCCTACCCCCCACTCCCTACACAACAGCCACCTCTTCCAGGTGTCCATCCCTCCACACACTCCCATCCCCCGGGCTGTCCCCTGTGCACAAACAGCCCCTCCTCCCACAATTGCCCTCTCCAAGGAGTGCATCTATCCTGGGTAAATGTTCAACCCACATGCCTTTTGCCCAGCCTGAAGCCACAGGCATGGGCCCAACGACAGACCCGAAGGGCAGCCAGGGGCCACAGTCCCAGTGGTTCCATCAAGCTCCATCAGAGCAGTAAACCTGGTCCCCGTTCCCTTTCCTTTTTCCAAATGATTCCAAGCCCAGCTCCACACTGTTCTCCCTCTCCATCCAGGATCCCCCACATAGATCCCCCTCCGAGTGGCCAACAGTGGCAGCTGGGCACCATCCAGCTTCTCCGGTCCCACAGTCACACAGGCCACGGATCGCACAGTGCACCAGTCGCTAGGACCAATTGTTTCCATGAATCTTTGGTTTTCTTCATTTTTCTTTGATCTGGATGAGGACAGACCCATCGTTGCGTCTATATGGCTGCTTGCAAGCTTTTAAGATAGCAGTCACTACTCACCTAAGTAGGAGGTGGAACAATGTTTTGTCTATTATGTCAATTGAGCTTGATGTCCCCTGTGACTATGGTCCCTATCCCAACGGTTCAACTACTCAGTCCCTCTGGGTAGCTGGCTGTGACCAAGAAGTGACTACAAACCTTATCCCTTGTCAGCTCTACTATACACCTGGAAATTCTTACAGATCATACAAATACACTTATAGGAATGCTGGTGAATTCTTTTATTAGTGTCAATATAAAAATGCACAGAGAAAACCTGACAACCCAACCTATAAACAATATTGAATCTGTTTAATGCTACTTTGTCGTGTGTTCATGTGGAACATAATGAAAAGTAGCTAAAAATAGAGAAAGACTTTCTGAAATATGTTGTAGGTGCTGCTGGAAAACCCTTATCACTGAGAAATTGCCTTGTCATTTGTTATGCTTACATGTTAGTAGAATTGTAAATATAGTATACTAGTAATGAAGGAACCCTTGAATTTATTTAGTAGTTATCTTGACCTACTTATTTGGAGCCTGTGAGTATAGTTAGAAGGTTATTTATAATGGAGGGATGTGGTGGGGGACGGGTTATGTCAGCTGAATTCCATACACTGGTGGTGGGTTCCTTAGTGATGAACATTGTATCTTAGGCCACCAGCCTATGCCTTAATCACTCACTTCTCATCACAGAGGGGCCCAACTGCCACCCCAGGTTCCGGCTCCGGCCCTGGCCCTGGGGCCAGCACTGGCTCCGGCACCGGCTTCGGCTCCAGCCCGGGCACGATGTCAAGCCCAGGGACAGGTGCAGGCACAGGCCCTGCACCAGGCTTCAGAGCAGGCTCACGGTCTAGCTCCAGGAGAGTTGTAGGGTCCGCCTCAGGGGTGGAAGGTGGCTGAGTTGCTTCTACCTGGATGGCTTCTTCAGGTGGCACTGTCTCGCACTCTGTATTCTGGTTTACCTTTGTTATTGGTCTGCAGGAAGAAAGCCCAGGGAAGAGCAAGGTAAGTAAAATGCTAACTTTCAAGTTTCTTCAGGTAGAGCCATGGGCTTTATAGCTTTGATGCTCATAATAGGTCCTAGACTATAGGACATCTGTGATTTCAAATATTCTGACCCACTGGCAGACCAGGTGTCTCCATTTTGAATTCAGAAAGGTTAGGTCCTATCAATATAATGACAATTAAAGAGGGACAGACTAGTGTTTGAAGGGTGGGAAAACCATCATCAGAATAAAAGGGTCTAAGGATTTAATAAGGCCTTTGAGGGTCAAATCCATGGCTCTGCTGCATCTTTAGGTCCCACTTAATCTAGCAAAGTACTTGGTACATGGTTTTTGGTGGTGGTGGTTAGGTGCCATTAAGTCTGTTCTGATTCATAGCAACCCTATATACAACAGAACGAAATGTTCAGTCCTGTGCCTAGTTGTACCCCATAAATAGTTGAAGCAAATGAATAAGGGGATACACAGTAGAGAAAAAAAAAAACAGCTTAGTGGTTAAGAGTATGGGCTGACTTCTCTGGGCCCTAGGCACTTTGGCCTTCGTGGATCTCTTCTTCCATAAAAAATATTTTATGACTGTTAGTATAAAGATGACTATACAGTAACAAAATGAATGGACTATATATTAAAATATTACATATTAATACAACATGTATTTATTAATGTTTTTATATTTATAAAAATACTTTCTTCTGATTTGAAAGGGAAACATTTTCATGAGCCCCTAAAAAGTATTGTGGGGGTCAGGCACCGTCTCTCTGGCTAATGCATAAGTTAGCCCTAGATATGGGGTCAGACAATGTGAGTTTGAATTCCCACATTTTCCCTTACTATATAATACGTCTTTTGGCAAATTGCCTCACCTCTCTGAGCCTCAGTTTTCTCTTCTAAAGCATGGGGATACAAATAATGACTTTAGGGGTTATTATGGGGGTTTATACAAAATGGCATAAGAATAGCACCCAGCATAGTGCCTGGTGAGTTGTCCAACAAGTAAGCCCTCCCCCCACCCCCAATGGCTGTTCTCTTCTCCCCTCTAATCCCCAATCAAATACCACCTCTGCAGCTTACTCACTGTGACCATGTGAAGTCACTTAACATCTCTGAATGTCTATTTCCTCATCTCAAAAATGAGGCTTATTTTAAAAATAGTAACTACCTCGTAGGGTTGTTGTGAGGGTTAAATACACATAAAGTGCTTAGAACAAGGTCTGGCATGTGACATTCAGTAAATGATAGTTGTCATTTTTTTTTTTAATTTTTTCTCATAAATTGAGAGAGTGAGTCAGAATATAATCTCTGACATGCTAAAAGTAGGGTTTAGGAAGCATGGACTGGAAGAGCCATGCCTGAGAAAATTTTATATTCAAGTAAAGACAACAAGAAAGTTCTTACTCCAGCTCTGTGGTGGTTCTAGGATTTCTTTTCCTTTGCTTTGCCTTTGCCTTGCTTCTTGCGAAACACACAGCAGAAATGATAATGGCAGCACCTGCCAGGCTACCCACAAAGGCCCCCACAACAATTCCCATTTCTGGATCTGGATGGAGGACATAAGCAGCTGGTTAGTAAAGTAGACCATATTGTCTGCCTCATACATGTCCATGGGACTATTTGGGCCATTCACAGGGGAGAAGGTACTTGTATAGGCTGGACAATAGAAACTCCTAGAACTATGCCAGTCAGACTCAGAAGTGGAAGAAAAAGATGACTGGCTTGATTATATAAGCTAACCATAGATATTTACATACCTAAATTAAAAAAATATGTATCACCTGCAGGGAGGCTGAGCCTCTTTTGAAATAAGGTTTATAGAAGTGAGTTTTCCATGTGTATTTGCTTGGTGAGTGAAAGAGACACCATGGGATTGCAATCTGGTCACCAGAGAAATGAGCTCTGTTATATTTAAAACAAACAAACAAACAAAAAAAAAAACGTTGCCATTGAGTTGATTTGGACTCATAGTGACCCTATAAGACAGAGTAGAACTGCACCATAGGGTTTCCAAGGCTGTAATCCTTACAGAAACAGACTGCCACATCTTTCTCCCAGGGAGCAGCTGGTAGGTTCAAACCTGCCCACCTCTTGGTTAGCAGCCCAGCATTTAGCCACTGCACCACTGCAGGGTTCCTTGACCTCTGTAATGGGCAGGGGCGTTTCACCAAGCTTTCCCAGAGCACAGGTGAAAGAGGTCCTTAAAAAACCTTCCTCTTACCCATGCCCCCCCATTCCTCATGCTGGTGGAATGCACCAAGCAGCCTCATGTATTCTGGCCACTGAAAGGGATCTACCCATTTCAATAATCAACTTTTTTTTTTTAATTGATATATCAGCACTTAGAGAAAATACCTGGGTGGTGGGTAGGAAGCAGTTGGCAAACCAACCAGAAGATGCATGTTATTTGCATAAAAATATGGTATTACATTAGACTGGAAAAATTGAATGACTGCAAGACAATCCAGTGAGCCCTCGACCTCTGAGCACCTAGGTGCTGTCTCTGAGAGACCATATTCTGAGTTATAGGTAGACTCATCTCCATCAGCATCCTCTCAAGCAGGAGTAGACATCTTATATTTTGAGATAAAAGACTAGTTATGATACCTGATAATTCTTTTAATTTTTTGATCAAAGGTAAACATGCAAATAAATTTAAAAGTCAAAGCATTTTAACTAGCCTTATGATAGCAAGCAGCAACCCCCCACCCTTCTGCTCCTCGTCTGTGAGTCCCACTCATGAGAAGCAACTACCTTCACCTCTCTTAGCTGTATCTTCTGGTGTTTGCCTCCATATTTTTAACTAATGTGTGTTCTAATATGTGCTGATATTTTCAATTTTAGACATTTTCTATTGACTTCATACTCTGGGAGTTGAATATTTAGCTCCCTTGCACCACACCCCTCACATAGTTGAAGACCAATTATCCAGTGGAACTGGCCACTCCTGGTACCAAAAAAAAAAAAAAAAAAAAACACCTCACTACCATCGAGTCGAATGTGACTCATAGCAACCCCTCTCCTTGGGTTTCTGAGGCAGTATCACTATGGAAGTAGATTGCCCAATCTTCCTTCCAAGGAGTGGCTGGTGGTTTTGAACTGCCAGACTTCTGGTTAGCAGTCAAATGCTTTAGGCACTATGCCACCAGAGCTCCCACTCCTGGATACAGTATATATTAAAATGACATATTCAAAATAAGTTAGTAAAATTAGTAGGTGATGAGATCCTAAGTGTTATTATGAGATCTTTGAGAGGTTTGGTGAGGCACCTATTGCAAAGATTTGCCCTTGGTTTGGCCGAATTTGACAATTCCAGGGCCCTTAAGTATTATGATCAGCAATTAAAACCGGTTACCATAGAGTTTGTTCCAACTCATGGCAACCCCATGTGTGCAGAGTAGCACTGCTCCACAGGGTTCTCAAAGCTTGAACTTTTGGAAGCAGACTGCCAGGCCTTTCTTCCAAGGTACTTTCTGGGCAGGTTCAAACCACCAACCTCTTCATTTAGTAGTTGAGTGCTTAACTGTTTTCCCTGTCAAGGACTCCACAGAGTGATTAGGTACCTTGCAACAGGACAATTGTGGTTTAGAGGCATCCGCTCTGCCATTACCAATCCTGGACAAGTCATTTGCCTCCCTTAGCTTCCATTTCCTTTTCATAGTCAAATGAGGCTAACAATATAGTCTACCTTCCAGACAGAGTGAGGCTTGAGTGAGAGAATGCTCACACAGCATCTAGAAGAGCGCCTTGCATGTATTTTGTGCTCTACAAATAATTGTTGTTGTTGTTATGTGCCTGACTCATAGCCACCCCTCCTTGGGTTTCTGAGGCAGTATCACTATGGAAGTAGATTGCCCCATCTTCCTTCCAAGGAGTGGCTGGTGGGTTTGAACTGCCAGC